CCGGGCAACCGTACAATACCGAAAAGCTCCGAATGAGCTCACAAAGCAAGTCCAATCTACCACACTTAGATTGCTTCCAAAGTATCAAAACATGTCCTAATTACCCCCTGGAGTAAATGTACAAAATCTCATAACCAATCAATATAAGAAACTCATGATATGCACATATCCTATTTGAACATTTTACCTAAATTTCTATGTACAGCTGCTGCATGCAGAACTGTTTTGCCCATTTTAATCTCGAATTCATGCCTTGATCATGAAATAATAAATAAACTAGACTCAAATATATAACTAAGGAAATTGGCCTCACCTCATTTGAATTTTTCTATGATTTTATACAGTTTTTCAAAGTCTGCATACTTTCAATGCATTCAAAAGTCGAAATTCTCAATTTCATACATTTTTCTCAAACCATTTCGATTCCAAACCATTCCAACTTCTGAATCTCAACTTAATATAACATATTTGACATAAACAACCAAAATCCATCCTTTATTTTATCATTTATATTATCTCCCAAATCATTGACTTAATCAAGTCAAAGTTCATATGATGAACTTGCATAAATCTTGATAATCTCTTGAATCTAATGACCATTTCATGCCATAAACACTAAAATGCACTCATTTTATACAATTAAAATAAAACCCATATGAAACCTAACTCTAACTCAACATGCAATCCATATAACAAGAATGTCAACCAAGAACAAGTGCAAAGAATGGATTATACCTTACTTGATGATCAAATTCTTCAAAGATCTTGTAGTTCTTCTTTGATTTGAGTTGAATCGAGCCTATGTGTGTGAAAATCGCACCTCTAGTGTGTGTGTGAGTTCTGGACTTAGATGACATGAAAAATGGGCCAAAAATCCAATTTATAATGCTAAAACTCGAGTTGGGCCGGGTTGGCCCGGCTAKGTACCCATTTTGACTATCAACACTTAAAATATTCATAACTTTTCACTCGGACCTCCGTTTTCTATGARRTTTTYGCCTACACGTTCATAAAGAGATAATCTATAATATCCAACAAAAATATTCCAGAAAAGATCTCCCAAAAAAATCCGTTTTACATATCTATTTGACGTGATATTTTCCAAATTCTCTAATATATTCTTAAGAAATATAATTCTAAAACTTCAGACCCAAACTCCCACTAAATCATAAGTTCTCTTTAACCCAATAATTAAATATACTAAGCAAATAATTGGGCATATTAGAAATTGGATGTTACAGGATGAGAGAATGAAATAGACAAAAAAAGATGACACAAAAAGAAAGGGCCAATTTTTTTCTCAATTTATTAATTGCATCTCACATTGGATGATGAAATGAAAGCGGCAAGAGGAGTTGAATATAAAAATGAAGGGTCGATAATGGAATAAGCATAGATTTCATGAATCTCAGCCTTTTTTTTTGTAAAGATGAAGTGTAGTATTTGTTTTTTATCAGTTTGATATTTGATATGTGGGATATCAACATCACTTGATATATGTTTATATTTTATGGGAGAATGTCCATTTTCCTAGTTTAGTGATGCGGTTCTTTCGTGTATCATATTGGATTTGCACTACTACCACAACTTGGCACACCCTTCTAATTTTCACTTGATATATGATAGAATGTTTTTCTTTGATAACTATAAATGAGATCTCAATTAAATTTATGACGAAATCAAAATCATGATGAAGTTCCCAAATCATACAAATCAGAATTAATTCTTCAAGATCAAGAACAAGATTGAGTGGAGAGAGATTTTCACCAAATATGCTATTGATTTCTTGAGAGAGAATTACAATGAGATTAACAATCACTAATCAGATTATGAATTGAACTAATAACATTTAGAGAACTAAATCCTATTTATACTAAGGAAATAGTAAATGCTAACTATTACAAAAACATTACAAAGGGAGAACTTGAATACAACTTTAAAGCACATTCTTGAACCCAACAATGTCCTCCTTTGGATTCAAGATCGACACCTTGTAAATCTGGTCTTTCTGAGTCCGAGCAGTGTCTCTAGCCTACTCAGTGCATTCCGATACTACAATTTATCATCAAGCAAATCCAATGTATTAATCAGCAAATACCTATCCTTTGGACTCATCCTCTCCGACTTCGCAGCTCTATCGTTATCAGCTCTCCTCGTTTCAAGCGCCTGTCTCACCATCCGTATAGTACCATCAGAATATTTATTCAGCTCACTAAATCTCATGAGCTTCTTTATCTGATCCTTGGCACTGTATATCACCTCGAACTCTGGTTGTTCAAGAATTATATATAACAGATAGCCTTCAATATCTTATAGCTCTTGATCAGGTCTCTTCAAATTAATGATTCTCTGATTGTCTTCAAGACCCATTTGGACATCAAGAACCATAGACACTTTGACATGACTCCGCATAAACCTTTTGATTGCATTAAGAGCCACAATTACTCCTTCTCTTCTGACCGTCATATTTCAGATTTCGTGGTACATGTGCTCCAGATCTTCTAAATACAAGTTGGAGAAATCAGCTTTGCTAAACACCCAGACCATTCCATCTTGTCGTGTAACTGTGAATACAGGATACCAGACTCTAAGAAGTATTTGAGCATCAATTTGTTTGATCGAAACAACTCGATGTTTGGTCCGAACTTGGCTGATCGGGAGACGCTTTACTTTAAGGAAGTGCTTGTACTCTAAACGATAGTCTTTGGTTTCCTTGTGAATATACCAAGAATCTTATCAGCACTGAGAGCTTTGTGTTGCCGGAGGAAGATCCCAAAATAAACGTCTTCAAGATAAGGTTCTCTGATTCTTGTTCAGTCATAGCCTTGAAAGTTTGCATGAATTGCAAATGACACATAGTTCTTTGTGAATATCTCAGTCGGATCAAATGCCGCTCTCAGAGTATCAGACGCACCAAGATCAACTGTAGTGGAGGGTTCAGGCAAAGTCTGACGATCACCTTGGAACGGGAAGACATGGTCTTCTTCATTAATATCAGCTTCAAGGTCAAAATACAACCTAGATGATTCGTCAATGTTGTCAATATCTTCACCGAAATCCTGCTCTCCACCCAGTTCTGTAGCAAATGCTTCATTAAATCCAACATTGACCGACAAATCCAGTAACAGCCTTGTTCCTGCCGTGGAGTCCGCCGGCTTTTCAACCTTTGGCTCGATCGCTAGATTTGTCTCCAAAATAATCTTATCTTCCACAATTATTGTCTCAGTAGTTCTTTCTCTTGTTGATTCCGGGACAGAACTTTCAACGTTTACAGCTTGAGAAGTTGGCTCTCTTTCAATACTTTGAGCACGAGCAGAAAACTCAGCCAGCCTCTGTCTATTTCTTTCCCCCTCATGATGATCAAGATCATCCGGATCATCATGCCTTCGTTTCAGAGAGGTGGCTTGAGCTTGGCAAGTCTCTTCTAAGATAGATACTCGTTTGGAGAGGGCATCAATTGAACTTTTAAGGGCTTGAGTGTTAGATGTGATTAACTTACTAACTTCAGAGAAGTTAGAAGGAACCACATCTTGAGAGGCCAAAAACTCCGAGGCTCTAACTGTGGGATCATTATCAATAAGCTGTCGGAGGAGCCCAACCAGATCTGCATCTTTCGCATCAGGGTTTTGAGTTGACATCAATTTGGCATACAATAAGGATTTAAGCTCATCCACCGATTGCTCTTGTACCGTCGGAGGCTCAGGTACAGGTGGTGGTGACGGCACAGATGGTTGATCTTCTACTACTTGCTCCTTCCCCTTCAACAACCTTTTGAGACTTGAAATTTGTGCTTCCATGTTATCTTGAATAGCCTTTAGGGCGCCGTCCAAATATTCCCTTGACACGAAGTCTGGTAAGATCACTCCTGGATCATTTAGATTACCAGTTGAGACAACAGTTGAAAAAACTGTTGTGCCTACATTCAGTGTTGGCAAAATGGTTGTACTGGTAGGACTTCCGACCTGTCCTTGTGGTAAGTCAATTGACACCACTGTGGTCGTTCTGACGAGTTCACTAAGAACCGCAATGGGAGCAACAGATGCTCTAGACTCTTGTGTACCTAAGTGTATAGGCTCTAAACTCAAGGTGCACAAAATTGAAGTCGTAGGCTGGGGTAGCGGCCTACTTATTTCAATATCTACATTCTCCAAGTGAGAAGTAGATAGAGTATGTGCTATATCCCCGCGATAAATTGAAACAACTTGTTGTTGAGAACCAGTTAAGTGGTCGAGATGGGTGTGCAGATGCATAGCTGGGTTAGCTATGTCTTCTTCAATACCAACATTCAATGGATGAATGTCGATAGCAGATGTGGGTGCTCGGCTATGTGTTTCGACTGGGATAGGAGCTTGATCTTCATTTTGTGCTCCACTCTCACACTCACCATCTTTTTCTTCGTCCCTTGCACTCAACCTCTCAACATTTTCGACTTGAGCTCCCTCATCACCTTCTTCTACTGGAATATCTGACATATCTTCCAGCATACGATCATATTCATCAAATCTGCCTCCAAAATCATCAACATTGAAGGATAGTGAATGCAAACTTGGACGAGTCTGAGTAGCTTCAATTTCTGGAAAAATATCTTCAATATTCTCAATCACTGCTCCGATCTGAATATTCTGAGAAAGTATCGGTTGAGCAGGATTATCAGCATCATCATTATCATCATCATCATTATCATCACCCTGAGCTGCCTGGTTATCGGAAATAGTATCTTCCGAACTTGTAGAAGTTGTGGAAGTACTTTCTGTTGAAGTACTATGCTGATCAAAGGCTCCCCGCTCCTCATCACCCCTCTCATTTACATTTTCTCTCAACGCACAACCCTGTTCAGGTAACCCTTGTTCCTGAACACTCTCAGCTAAAGCTATACCCTCTCTTTCAGCTGAGGCATGGGTTGATCCCGGGGCAAAGTTCAACCAGTTCTGGTTGAACTATATGATCTATCACTCTCCTATAGTCTATTACGTATTGAGCCGTCTGATCAGCGAAGGCAAATAGCTCGGGTGGGATTTCCATAATGGAGTCTAAATCTTCAACTTCGGTGTGTTGCCGAATATGAGTCATGACGAACATTGGCCCAACCGTACCTTGCTTGGTAATGCCAGTTCACATGAAGTCTTTTCTCTCTGAAAATGGTTGCTTGGGATTAGCTATTGCTTACGGGAAGTGGTACAATGGAGAGGAAAGTACAGTGATGAAGTGAGTTGAGAGGTTGAAGATGAATGACAGTAACTGCTACAAGGAAAAACGCGGGCTCTTGACAGGCCGTACCAATATTCAGGCTTTGATCTTGGGCTTCTTTCGCATGGGCTTCCTATACGCGGATTTTTCTTTGGGCCTCCATTGTCGCGGCCTGTTAAGAAATGAAAATAGCCATCAATTCCTTTTGGTCGGGCCTGGTTATTCAACAATAACAAACTGGGCCTTTTGCTTTGAATTCAGCCCAAAGATTAAAACTAAATCAAATTTTAAATAATTAACCTAACTAAATATATGTATATAATATAAAAGAAATAGATAATTATTCTAGAAAATGAAGAAAAATAAAATAAAAGCATAATCTAAAAATTTAAAATGAAAAATGCAAAATAAAATAACAACTTATAATTATATATATAAATACTAAATATTCACAATGAATTATTATTTTAGAAAGATAACCATGACAGGTTGCGTAACAATCATGGAATCAAAGAAAGGTTTTACTCTTTGTCCATTTACTTTGAAAGTAGTACCCCTCTCCGGATCTAGTAGGTCAATAACTCCGTAGGGGTATACTTTGGCGATAAAAAAAGGTCCGGTCCATCGGGAATTCAGTTTTCCTGGAAATAACTTTAACCTTGAATTGAACAACAGGACTTTTTGGCCTTCTGTGAACTCTTTTGAAAGAATCTTTTTATCATGCCATTTCTTGGTATTTTCTTTGCATAGCTTAGCATTTTCATAGAAAAAATTCCTATGCTCTTCCAGTTCACAAAGCTGCAAAGTCCTTTTTCTTCCGGCCTCATCTAAACTCATGTTGAGTTCCTTAATGGCCCAGTAGGCCTTGTGCTCTAATTCCACAGGTAAATGACAAGCTTTTCCAAAGACCAATTTATTAGGAAACATACCAATAGGGGTTTTGTAAGAAGTCTGGTAGGCCCATAACGCATCATCTAACTTAGAGGCCCAATCCTTTCTATGTGGCTTGACTACTTTGGACAAAATCCCTTTTATCTCCCTATTTGACAATTCARYTAATYCGTTGGTCTGAGGATGGTAGGCAGTTGCTACCCTATGCTTGATGTCATACTTATCAAGGACTTCTTCTAACATGTTGTTTATGAAGTGAGTGCCTTCATCACTAATTAAGGCACGAGGTGTACCAAATCTTGTGAATATGTGCTTTTGTAAAAACTTAACAATTGCTTTAGCATCATTGGAATGGCAAGCCATAGCTTCCACCCATTTGGACACATAGTCCACAACAACCAATATGTAGGCACAATTATTGGACAGAGGAAAAGGTCCCATAAAGTCTATACCCCAAACATCAAATAATTCTATTTCTAGAATTCCGTTTAAAGGCATTTCATTTCTTCTAGAGATATTTCCAC